TCGCTTTGTTAAGGCATGGTGTCTGAGTTGAACACGCACAAAATGAAGCCTGATAGGTTCCAAATGATGAGACACTTCGTTTATAATTTGTGCTAATTACCAACCTTTTTCAAAGATCTGATTGTAAGACACTTTCACCCCTTGAGGCTGAGCATCAAAAATTGGTTGCAGAGATTTTGGCATATTATAGGGGTTTCCGAACCTGCCCAACCCAAACCGGTTCAAAGCGCATGAAATACCCAAAAGCCCTGCCAAAATCGCGCTTTGCGGGCCATTTTGAGTGCATTTCTTTTCGGCGAGGAGAAAGGCAAGTCGAGTTGTACCCGTTGCTGGATGATTATGTAAGGCGAAGCGACATATTTTCCGTATAAGTAAAGCTTTTCTTGTAACATAGGTTTGTTTGTTCTAGTCTGAATGAAGCTCAATCGAGACGGAAGAAACAAGTAACTACTACAGCTGCTGATATCTCTGTGGAAGGCCGATCTTGAACTGGAATGTATACCATGTATACCATCTTGGAGAGCATAAAACGCTGATTCTTCTTGTCGGGGAGCTTTTCTAGACAAGGGATCTAAAAGAATGTGCAAATAGGATGAATATAGTCGTAACAATTTTCGTAGCGCTCAAATGGTGAATAGGAATTATCACAACATTTTAGGAATAAATACTCCCAAAACTATATATCCACACACACCTATATATCCATAGACTGATAGCCATAGACTGATTTGCCTATGGCTTTCTTGGGAGCTGTGGAAGTGCATGCTTGAGTTCCCCACTGGATATAGAAGAATTATCCGCTGCCTGATTTGAGCGATAGGAAAATCTCTGCAACTGTTTTTATCCTATACGCGCATTTGACTCCAAAATTGCTCATAACTCTTCGTTCTTAGATGCTCCGCAGATAAGGACAATAGAATTGAAATCAGTGTTTAATGCCCTCCAACATGGTATACATCCGATCTTAAAAGGCCACTTCAATCGACCATCATTCCTTTATCAGCCTAGATTAAGTGGTGTGGAAAAATGGACTGATTTGCCTATGGCTTTCTAGAAAGCTATAGAAATGCATGCTTGATTTTACCACTGGAAATAGAAGAACAGCATTTATGAAATTTTTTCGAAAATCATCAAATCAGCTCCCGCTTTTTG